TTCCTAGAAAGCAAATGAGTGTGGATCGGCCACCCGCACATCCCGCGGTCCCTCCCCCCACCATCATATTCCCCCCACCACCATCATATTCCCCCCCCCCCACCATCATTCCCCCCCCCACCATCATATTCCCCCCCACCACCATCATATCTCCCCAACATCATATCCCCCCCCACCATCATATCCCCCCCCCACGTATCATATTCCCCCCACCACCATCATATCCCACCCCCACTATCATATTCCCCCCACCACCATCAATCCCCACCCCCCCCCACAACATATCCTCACCCCCCCCCAACCATCATATCCCCACCCACCATCATATCCCCCACACCATCATATCCCCCCTCCCACAATCTAACCCCCCCCAACTCTAACCCCCCCACCATCATATCCCCCCCACCATCATTCCCCACCACCATCTAAACCCCCCCACCATCATATCCCCCCCCACCATCATATCCCCCCCACCATCTAACCCCCCACCATCTAACCCCCCCACCATCATATCCCCCCCCACCACATATCCCCCCCACCGCATATCCCCCCCCCCACCATATAACCCCCCCCATCTAACCCCCCACCATCATATCCCCCCCACCATCTACCCCCCCAACATCTACCCCACACCCCCACCATCATCGCCCCCCCACCATCATATCCCCCCCCCCATCCCCCCCCACCATCATACCCCCCCCACCATCTAACCCCCCCCACCATCATATCCCCCCCCACCATCATATCCCCCCCCACCATCTAACCCCCCCCATCATATCCCCCCCCACCATCATATCCCCCCCCACCATCATATCCCCCCCCCCCACCATCATATCCCCCCCACCATCATATCCCCCCCCACCATCATATCCCCCCCCCACCATCATATCCCCCCCCCCCATCATATCCCCCCCCACCATCATATCCCCCCCCCACCATCATATCCCCCCCCACCATCATATCTTCCCCCCCACCATCATATCCCCCCCACCATCATATCCCCCCCACCATCATATCCCCCCCCACCATCATATCCCCCCCCACCATCATATCCCCCCCCACCATCATATCTTCCCCCCCACCATCATATCCCCCCCCCCACCATCATATCCCCCCCCACCATCATATCCCCCCCCACCATCATATTCCCCCCCCCACCATCATATTCCCCCCCACCATCAGAATCCCCCCCCCCACCCATCAACCCCCCCCCATCATACCCCCCCCCCACCATCATATCC